ACAGCACGTCTCTGTCCTCCATCCCAACGCTGACCCGCACAAGGCCCTCCTCCACGCCATAGCCCGCCGCCCACTCGAGCTCTCCGTAATGCGCGAGAATCGTGTATGGGCTTGCGAGGGTGAAGTTCGTGCCAAGGCTCGGCCCCTTGTAACACAAGAGGTTGTCGTAGAACGCGTGTGAGGCCGAGGAGGAGGTGAAGGTTACCGAGAAGAGCCCGCCGTATCCGCCTGTCGCAACCCCGCTCTCGCGCACTCGACAGTGCTCAAAATTTGCAGCTGTCTCCCATTTCGGATAGAAGACCTGCTTGACGACTGCATGGGCAGGTGGGTGCTCGGCGACGAGAGAACGTGAGCGCAGGAGGGAACAGACAGCGAGTGTATTGTCGTCGATGGCTTGGATGCGCCGCTTGAAATCGCGTGAGTTGCGCTCCATGACGATAGCGTCCTCGTCACAGTAAGAGTCTTGGTACGACTGGTCCATATACGCTTTCAGCGCAGCGTAATGTCTCCCCTTCGGGTTCAGGACAAGACTATATGCAGGATGAGCAGCTTCATCACATGCGAGAAGATACACGACACACCTGCCGCCCATTACATTCGCATCACCACTGAAGACTTTTGTGAGACTGCTCACGACAATGTCAGCGTATGGCAGAAGCTCGACATTCACAAAATTTCCTAGAGTCTCATCTATGACTATTAAAAAGTCATATTTATCAGCTAGTTGGCGAAGACGGGGAAGGTCGGCGGAACGGAGCAGGGGATTGGAAGGAAACTCAGTGAACAGTGCAAGTGCGGGAGGATTAGTCGATGTAGCAGCCTCCTTCGCTAGAATCCCCTCTAGTTCATCTATGCTCTCGTCTAAACCATGACCGAGGAAGAAACAACCGGGCCCCCATTTTTGAAGGACTTTCAGCGTGTCTGTGTACGGAAACCTAGGGTCGTGATCAGTCGCGGAGGGATGTTAGAAAGTAGGGAGGCTTACCCAAAGCAAATGCTCTTAGCAGCGGGTCGCACGGCTAGAGCCAACTGGTGAGCGCTCCAGATGGCGGCCATGCCTGTCGCGAACAGAAAGACGTCGTCTTCGGTGACGTTCTCGACACCTCTCGTACTTGGGCCAAGTTCAGCATCTTGTCCTCCTGCAGCCGACCAATCGCTGGGGCTATCCCGGACCAGCACACCTGCAATGCGCCTACGAAGTGCTCGCTTCGCCGCGGCTGCTGATTGCAAAGGCAGGTTACGACCGTAACGCTCTTCTACGTATACACTCTGATCAGTGCTCAGGGATTCTCTGATGTATTTCGCAGGCAAACTCTGTTCCGTGCTAGTTGGAGATGAGTGTGGTGACTGGCCAAAGCTCTTCGTGGAATAGTGTCTGTTATGAATTCGGACTGGAGAGCGAGCGAAATTGAGCGGAGGATATCCTGGAGCATCGTTAGGCAGAAGAGCTAGGCAGCGCTCTGCGTATCTACTCGATACACACAGCCCAGTGTGTTGCCAGAACTGTTTCGCGAGGGGGAATGAATCGCCAGGGAACAACACGATATGGAGTTCCATACATGATGTCGTCGTCTCAGGCGCGTCTTCTGGGCAGATGAGGAATCGTACGAGACGAACAGAGATTGGAGAACCCGATTTTGAAGACATATCGACCATGAATGCGCGGCACGCCTCGGCAATCCTTTGGGTAGGACATAGAATACACTGCTCCCCATTGACGGCAAATTTCTGCTCGCAAATTTGTGCCAACTAGAAGGACCTTCAGCATTTCTCATTCCTAGAGCGAGAACGATCCAAATACTCGCCTTTCGAATACTGAGGTGAATAAAGAATCGTGGATAACCGGTGACCATCACGTCTATCACTCGCTTCTCCCCCTTCTCATAATCGACGTTATCCTCCCAAGTCGGAAGAGACACTGAGATGGCATGGGGAGTGAACGGAGGAACGGATGCGCCTAGTGTGTCTTGGTGTTCGACCAGCGTCGTTGTCGTTGTACTCATCGCGATGAAGAGGCTAGACGGTCCAACTTTCCAGAGATGACTTATATCGTGTCCGCGGGGTTAAGAAGTTCCAAACGTCAATATCTAACTGGAGTTTAATGAGGTAGAATCAGGGCTTCACGTAAATGCTGCCGACCGTGATCAGTACTCTGCACTCATGACTCGCACACGAAAAGGCTCACCGAGTCGTGTGATCTTGAAGGCCGAGAGCATGCGAAATAACTTATAGAATGGGTCTATAGGACTCACGCAGATTTGGACATCGGGTTTTAATCGTTGAGCAGACAAACGAAAGTCAACAGCGCATGTGCAATGTCTATGTAGCAAGTAGATAAAGTGGTCGATGAGTGGTGAGTCAAATTCGGCGCTTACAGTATCGGGCGGCTGTATAGTGAGCGCTTCAGCGCGTCGCTCTGCCAGTGGGTTGAACTTGGGTTGAACGACTTCAAGTTGACTCAAGCACAACTTGGGAATTATCTTGCTAGACCACCTTGCTGACTCGGAGAACCGCTTTAGTTTGATCTATTTTTTCGAACTCCCATTGGTTATTGGAACCAAGACTCAAACTTCCGCGTTCAGGGCTGTTCAAGCCACCCTCGGGAAACATCTCAAACTACTCAGTGAGGCTCTGAGGCGGACATCCATGACTTACGCGCCGACAAATCCACTTGATGTTCCACCATACCAACTCCAATCGCTGATTTCGAACGTCTTGGACGGTAGCGGACGTGAGTCCTCTACATATCATAATGATGTAAGGGTTAAAACTAATCCCGTCCTCGAGCGGTTAGGACTCCCCGGTCTACCTGTGCAAATACGCTGTGCTCAAGCCCTAGGTATTTGGCGTCGCTTGATTGTTACTATTTAGCCAGCGTTGAGATGTGTCCCAGGATCGGAGATATACGTGGGGTGTTCTAATGGAGAGCTAATGCGCTTCGCACTGCAAGCGAATAACCCAACAACGGTGAGTTCCAGGTTTGCATAGATGCTCTTAGCACATTCTCATAACTTACAGTATTGACTAGCCAGAGTCATATACCCTCCTTTCACGACAAAGTGTCACGAATGATCGACCTATACAGGAGATTGTACTTCTTCCGAGTCTTTCTCGAGCTCTGGTACTCGGTGGTACGTACCGCATTTTTGGGCTGCGCGCCCAAAGTGCTCGTTCGCAGCAGCTCATCATTCTGATACCTTGGCTTAAGACCACCAGGTTTTCATCTACACATTGCCATCTTTGGATATGATTCCATCCACTGTGATTAAGCCAATACGGAATGTGGTGACCATTGCTGTAGATGAGCAGCATCTGCGTCGACCGGCCCTCAACGACCCCTCACAGCCCGTAGAACCTGTGGAATTCTGCGTGATTAAACGCAATGCGATCGCGTTGTATAGCCTTCGCGAAAAACTTTTCTTCCAGAAGGTCAGTCGGGGCGTTTATCGCGGATATTTTACGTGTTCGCCTTGAGAGCGATGACGACGCTTCTGAATTGGCCGGACGCTTCGAGATATCCGATGCTGATCACACGTACTTCATCTTGCAGGAAATTCCACTCCCGACCGGGGGAAGCCTTGCGAGGCGCACGGGTCGTTATCTATGTGTGGCCGACAAAGACAACTACAATACGATTAACTTGGAGGCCGCGTCCTTCATCCCACTGATGCCAGTCTCTCAAGCACCGGATGGCCCCGCAGTGAAGCCTTCTATCACGGTCATCAGTGAATATGAGTTCCTTATCTTGTCGTGGACTGGCGCCAGCACGTTGGGCGTTTTCATCACAGGCGAAGGTGAGCCTGTGCGCGGCACGCTTGAGTGGTCCAGCCACCCTCAGTCCGTGTGTAAGTGGTTGTGCATTATCTGTGAGCCATACACGGCGCCCCGGACATATCATGCGACCCAGTCACGTAAGGATGAGGTGTCCGTGGTGCCGTGCAGCAGCCTGTCCTCCTGGGTAATTTGCAAACTCACATGGACGACGTCGGCGGCGTCGCTGTTACAGGTCTGGACTACCCGTATATCACCGCGCTGCTCCCGAACGGAACGGTAGACATCCACAATATCGAGACGCAGGCGATCATGCAAGTGCTCTCTGCGCCGGCCAATTCTCCGATGGTGGGCGTGTCTACAGTTGAGGACCGGAAGGGGTTGGTGGCGTGTGCGAGTGGATTCCTTATGCCGTCAAGCCAACGCTCAGACAAGCTGCGCCGGACGGCTGTACGTCTGGTTAGGCGAGGAGGCGAGCGGGCGGGAGGGGACACGGGGGAGGGCGATGTGGCTGTGGCTGTAATCTAATCTTATCTGGTTCTATGACCCACTTTACGTACGATTGGTCTTCGTTTGACATACTGCAAGGATCCATGGCGCCCCATGCCTGCCTCGCCTTGGCATGTAACCTCCGAGTGCCCCCCCGCGGGCCCCTTCGTCCTTGTCTTGAACAGCCTCCCCTCTGTCTGCTCATCTTCCGAACATGTCGCTCAGGAAACGGCTTTCCATCTCCAGCACCCGGAGCGAGTCTCCTCTCGTCTTTGCTGTCGCCTCGAACGCGGACTCTGAGGAGTGGCTCAAAGCATGGCAGTGCGTGTTCGCCAGAGGTAACTCGGATCTCAATTTCTTCATTCGTGAACGATCAGGAAGGCTTATCCTTGCTGCAGATTTAATCGACTCGCCTGTCGTTGCCGTCGACGCGGAGACTACGGTCGAAGATGCTTGTGATGTGAGTTCCTCTCGCCTAACGGACGTGTGCTCCGAAAGAAGTGGCTATATGCGCATGGAAGAGGGGAATATCCACAAGTCCGTCGCACTTCAAGGGTGCCGACTATGATTGCGCATGGGTCGCGTACAGCATCCGCCATCCTTAGCCGCGCTCCATTTTCATGAAGCCCATCGTCATTTCGTTGACGTGTGCTGACTTCCAATAGCTTTTGCTTTCAAAGGATCTAGTATGTTTGGCTGTGAACCACCGACCCAACAGCTCTCCCAGCCCCATACCTTATCATGGGCTTTTCGATGTGAGTTTGAATTTCTCCCGATTTTAATATGCTTTCATGTCAAGTGTGGTCGCACACGAATATCTTGTATCATGCCGAACGCCTTTCCATCGGCAACTTCAACGCATAGCTGATCAATAGCTTTGCGGTCATATCTGTTGTTTTAAGCTGCTTCAACGTTTCGAAACCTCTTGCTTCGAGACGCACTCACTTTGCCCTTGCATTTTGACAGTATGCAGATGTTAATGCGTTCCTCACTTTTGCGGCCACCAGACACAAGCTCGCATCAGACGAGCTTCGAGGGAAGCCACGCGTACAGGAGATTTTGGCCGCGGCTAAAACGGGCCGCGTTCCTGTTGCGCTCGTCAGCAGTGCGTCCATTCATGCTTGAAGGCTTCCTGTCGTCAACTTAATATTATCCAGATTTGTCAGAGAAGAATCCACTCGAGATCTTACCATACAACGCAACGGTTGTTCAATTACTCGGTGTCGTCGCACGAGGCGCACATCGAGGTAAATCTTTTTGTTATTCACTGAATGGACTTCGATTGACGACGTCCGCGTGCAGTACTCATTCAATCCGAATCTCCTTCTGCCGAGTTCCTCGGCATGGTCTCAGACAGACGGCTGCTCTCCTGGTTCACCTCGTATTCGCAGCAGAACCCTGCATTCCTCCGTTACCTCGCGAATCCTCTCTGCTCCCTGGCGCTGCCCTCGATGTATCTCTATCTCTCCGTTGTTGCTGCGAGGGCGACGAATTGCGTGCTAGATGCAATGAAGCTAATGAGCGACGAGGGCGTGAGCACTATTGCCGTCGTGGAAGAGGAGAACGGCAATTTGCTCAGTGCCGTGAGTGTAACCGATATCGGAAAGGTAAGAAGTCTGCATCGTGCTTGCGTGCTTGTTTAGCGTACATATGGGCATCTAGATGGTCGTCCCTGCACAAAGCAATCAAATTTTATCCATGCCATTGCACCAATTTGTGGCACTTATCAAGGCACGTTCTCGATTGCAACTACAACCATTTCTGGTTAACCCGGCATCTAGGAGCCGGACGGTTCGACAGATGGTATTGACAAATATCCAGGTACATACTTGGGTCAGGTGGCCGTTTTAATGCATCGCGGAACTGATATCGTGTTACGTAGTGTATAGTGTCTCTCCGAGCAGCACCCTATTCTATACTATGAAGAAGCTGTTAGCTAGTGAGTACTTGCGCGTATGCTCCGTTAGATACAGCATGCTAATGTGCGCGAAGCCGAATCCCATCGCCTCTTCGTCACGGATGATTCACCCACCTCATCGCCCACTTTCCCGCCCACCAGCACAGGCAATCTTTCGGGCATAGTATCCACCGTAGACGGTGAGCTACTGTGTGAGCTCTCGACACCGACTCGCACTGACATTTCCGTGGTGCTACTTCAGTACTATCGCTTTTCGCGCGCGTCGCCAACCTGCCCGATGTCGACCCAACACGCATGCAACGGCACCGGCGCGCATCGTCCGCATCCGGCTCCTCTTCCTCCCACTCGTCCGACCAGAGCAGCTTCGGGATGCGCTCGCGCTCGAGCAGTCGCACGAGCCCCGGCCGGCTCTCCGTCTCCGCGGGCGAGGGCGGCCCCCGCAGCCTACGCAACTCGGTATCGAGCCTCGAATCGTTCCAGTGGGCGGACCGCGTGCCCAAATGACAGACGGATGGTTTATCCTCTTTCCCCTCTTCGCCCGCAAGCTCCAGAGCTAGTCCTCGCGGTTCTTTTCCTGGCTATATGCTATGCGAACCTCCCCTCTCCATGCCCTCATGTTCTCGCCGCATTGTATTTCATATAGGTATTCGAGCCCCCGATATTCAGGCTTCAGCGTGCGCTCTCGACCCCACAGTCCGTGTGCGTAAAATGCGGCGTCCGCCGAGTTCCAACACACCGGCGAGCACATGAATAGACTGTTTCTCAGACAAGTTACGTCAGGTAAGCTTTCAAAACGTGAGGGTTCCTCTCACGACGTGGGCCCGGACTATGGGGTTCAGGGGAATCAGACTACTAGACTAGCCTGTCTATGGACAAATGTACCAGCTGCGCTGCATGATCCGATACTCTGTGACATTCATTGTGTGCATCTCAGCTAGAACTGATGCAAACTGAATTGTACGGCTGCAGAAACTCTTGTTTAGATGCACCTTATGCCCGCCGCCTGATGCTCCATAGCCTTGAGGCTGGGACATTATGGCAGTCAAACTGTTCGGATACTATATGTGATATTATTATTTTACTGGCCGTGAGTGTATGATACAAAATTCGACGAGCGGATTGATACATCGTCTATAGGAACATCTAGAACAAACAACATCGTAACAGACCAGGGGTGGCAGCCCGAAGGCACGGAGACTGATTCATGTACAGGGGTTAAGAACATTCTGCGAAGACAGATATTTCACGCTAAAAAGGATCGGAATTGAACAATGGGAACATGATCTAAGTTTGCGGCCTCCATCCAATACGAACTGACTTCGCTCATTTCAATCGTCTTCTATGCGCTACCGTTGCCATTCGCTTGGCCATTGGCATTTGCTGCCCCCGCCACGGAGCCTTCTTTCTCCATAACCCGCGACTTGAGCGCACCGAGGATCTCAGATACGCGCGTGGTTGCTGCCTCGAGCAGAGGGTGCACGCGCTCCTGGACGGTATCGCGGACCTTGTGGATCTTCTCCTGAACAGGCTCTGGCGAAGTGAGGATAGAGGAGAGCTCAGAGATCGCGGACGAAAGGTGAGTGGAGATGTCATGGAGGGATGCCTGCACAGAGGCCGGAAGAGTCGCCGTCGTGGCCTAAAAACAATCTCAAGTGAGCATATATGCTAGTTAGGCGAACTAATATAACGCTACCTGGATCTTCTGAAGCTCGGCGAGCATGGTATCGCTCAGCGCCTGTACCTTCACGTGTGCGGTGTCGTAGCTGGACGACGCAAAGTTGGTGATGTCGTGGGCGGTCTCCGCCGCGCGCTTGACCAGTGCATTCTGCGTTTTCAGCTGATTGACCTGCTCAGTAGAGTATGTCCGGAGCTGGTCCGAGAGGTCCTTCGAAAGCAGAAAGGCGCGTTGATACTGGTACTGTGCGTCTGGCGATGACGGTGATGAGTCGCCATTGGGGTGCAACTTGTTGACTGCAACCTCAAAGTAGTTGACGATAGGTGTAAACCTCTGTCATAAGAATGAGGTCCCATACGGCCTGTGAGGGGTGAGCGGACGTACCTGATCTATCCCTTGAGCAACATTGAATGCAGGGCTTTTTACTCTCTCATCGAGAGCCTTGGTTGCAACATCCCTGGCATGGTCGCTGTGGCCCCTAAGATCTTTGACGATATCCTCGGTGGGCGTCTTGAACGGATACGGATAGCGGGACTCGACCGCGTCGAAGCCGAGGTTGGCGTAGCTATCGGCGCGCTCGAGGATCGGGGCGAACTTCTTTTGGAGCGGTTCGGTGTATGAAAGTGCGGACTTGGAGAGGCCCTGTGCGGTAGTATAGGGCTGCCGAGTGTAGGAGTTGTTCGTAAGAGTTTCATGTATGGTGTTGAGGGAGGACGCAACGAGGGGGATGGAGGCGACGCGGGTGATGATGGTGAGCTCAGGGGAGCTGGCGGTTTGGGTTTCGGTAGCCATTGTGTGCAATGGGAGAAAGGAAAAAGGAAGATAAGAAAAGGGATGCGCGCGCGAGCTCAAATACTTGAACGCGACCGAGCATTCACATGTGATTTCCGCCTCGTCGACGTCCTTGGCAGAGAGCACGTGCCGTCTGGCTCGGGCCCGTCCGACGCTTGCTCGGCCTCTTGCTTTCTCGTCCACCGTCCAGAACTCATTTGTGCTCTCGATCAAGTCCCTCGCATTCGCAGCGTCTTTGGTATTGTCCTCCGTACACGTATGCTTCAATATTTCTGAATTGACTGGATTTTATATTTTGCCTAGACGATAGGCTCGGTATCATGCTAGGCCGCACGGCGACGACGCTCCGACATCCAGGCCCCTCGCCGTATCGTTGTGGTTAGTCTAACTCCTAAGTGGCCCCATGCTGTGGATCTGTTGGCGACTGTCAATGGCCTGACCTTATCTATGGTCCATTTTCTGCCTATACGAATATGGGGCGAGTCTGCGCATGACTCTGAGGTGCCTTTACGTGCGCGAAACGTCGATTTTACCTTCTTTGGCTGCAGACCTACGAATTCCTGGCCTGCGGTTACTCTTGCCTTTTTTTTTTGCCAAATACTCCTGTGTCCCCGGTTGGTTGGCCGTCATAATTTTACGGGTGTGCTGTATCTCCCCAACAACCACAGTTCAATCCCAGCGTTTTGATTTGACCTATTCTCTAACGAAGCGGCCTGGGACTTCTCCGACAAAATATAGCCTCCCAATAAAGTCCGGGTATTGGTTTGAAAAGCACCTTATTCCGAATTGTGTATCTGGTCGAACTTGGAGCTGCGGCCTCCTTTTTCTTCGTTGGTGATAATCAGCAATGATGGGCTAGACACTCCGGAATGCTCATTTCTTCGAAGGTGGGGTCGGGCTGTGGCGTATCGCACACCCCTGTACATTCTATACCGTTTCTGATCGTGTCCTCCCGCTTGACGGGACGCTTCAGACAATCCTGTCTATTTACCTGGCCTTTGTGCCGCTCGGCCAGTGGTTCTTTCTTTCAGAGGCTCGGTTCGTCAAAACCTATCCCAGTTGTTGACGCAAAGTAGGTCTTTTTCGCTCAGTGCCAGTGTCAGGTCATAACAGCCTGCTTATTCCAGGAGAATGCGACTGTCGGCTTGCGAAACCAGCTTTACGAACCGGTATCAGTCTCGCTACTGCGTACTTCAGTTCGCTCACAACAGACCCGTGAGAGACAGTCTAGGAAGCAGCGGCGATGCCCTGCAATCACAAGGCCATTGGCGTGTTACGCTCGAAGCGCCGTTCTTTTCACCTGGACATTGCTTGTCCATAAGAGTCATGAACTTACTGAGAGCTATTACTATTTATGGACTAGTTCCGCGACGGAAGAGCGTGTCCCCTCTCACATTCCGTCCCTCTGTTGCTATATCTCTCCCAACTGTACGCTCGCAAAGTGTGTTTAATCGACGCCTCGCCGGAAACCTGCCAACAACACCAGTCGATATGTCGCGCGTTCACCTGCACGAGGAGCTGGCGCTGTCGGGTGATCGTGTCGAGGTGCAGACGCGCCACGGCCCGATCAAAGGCGGGCTCGCTGCCAATGGTGCAGCCGTCTTTTTAGGTGCGTGCATCGTGTCCAATGCTACACTCAAACCCAGAGCGCTGAGTGCCTCCGATGTTCTCCGATGGCGCGGATCTTCATTCATAGAGGTCCCATACGCACTCCCCCCAGTGAGATTTCAAGATCCCGAGCCACTGCCGCCAGATTACCGCTATGAGTCGAAGGACTACGTCTATGAGAGCAGATGTGAGCCGTCGCTTGTTGATCTCGCTACGATAGCTGCGTGTAGTCGGTGGTGTATCTTACTGTGACTTTCAACGAGGTAGATTGTGCGCAGCCGAAGAACGACGGGCAGGCCGCAGGTGCGCTCCCATATCTAACCAAGTTAATATGATGTCGGGCTGACCGTTCGCGAAACAGGTTCTCCGTTCGAAGATAAGGTCGGACTTGGGAGAGTGTCCGAAAATCCGTGAGTGGATCCTGCGCTACAGGTAGGCCATCTACTGATACCAGGATCTTCTGCTTAGGTTGTTTGTGAACATCGTGTCGCCGTCCCGCGTCTCGTCTGATTCCAAGTTCCCCGTGAAAGTTTACATCCATGGCGGGTGGGTCTAAGATTGACTTATGATAAGTGCAGGCTGATATACCGGTGTCACAATTTCGTCCTCCCACAGATTCCTGCAATATGGCTCCCCCCATGGATTATCGGGGCAGGCGCAGTACGTTGCCGCGGGACGATCGGAAGTATGGGTAAACATTGGGTACCGTCTCTCTGTGCTTGGATTCTTGGCGTGCGATCAGCCACCTGTAAGCGGGAACTTTGGATTCAAAGATCAATGGCTTGCTTTATTGTGGATCAGGGACAACATTGAAGCGTTTGGAGGTACTTTTTTAGTATAATATGTCTTCGCCTGCTAATACTGAACTTGTAGGCGATCCTAAGAATATTCAAGTCTCTGGTCTGTCTGCTGGTAGGGATTTTTCATGTCATGTGTTTTTATGGGCTGTTCACGAACTTGCTTGATCCTAGGGGCACACTCTGTACACCAGCTACTGCACCACGTATCACGCATGCCTGAGGGTGTGGACTCGCCTTTTCAAAGTGCCGTCCTTCAGTCGAACGCCATAATGTGAGTAAACACAACAATTGTTGCCGAAACCAGCGAAGGTTGAGTCAATTTTGAATAGGCTCAACCCCAAAACACCTACAGAGCTGCGTTCACAATTCCGCGCTCTCTGTGAAGCACTCAGACTTGATCCCGACGCCTCAGACGTTCTTGCCACGCTACGTGATCCGTCAAAGGTTACCACCTCCGCGTTGTTGCATGTTATTGAGACAGAGGAAGTGGGGGTTTTAAACAGCACCTTCCGCGGATGTTTGGACGGCTCTTGGCTAGCAACATCACCCGACCCAATGACATGGCAGCGCACAGGCGGGTTTGCTCGCGCTCTCCGTGCCAAGGGTGTGCGCAGCATCGTCGTTGGAGAGCTCACCGAGGAGTGGTACCTGTACGCCATCGCCCACCCCGTAAAGGACTTGACGGACGCGATCGGGAACATGGGCCGGTACTACCCCATGGAGGTTGTAGAGAAACTGCTCGCGTTCTACGACAAGCCGAGCGAGGATGCATCCGCCAACGACGCAAAACGATTCATGGGGTTGGTACTGAGCGATGGGCAAGTCTATCTGCCCGTGCGGTTGCTCGCACGCGACTTGGCAGCAGCAGGTTTCCCGGTTCTGCGATACCAGATCCGCTGGACGCCTGAGCAGGTTAGGCCTCCGAGGGGTGGGTGTTATGTTTCGCCTCGTGCCTAGGGTATCCGTTGACGGTTGTATCACAGGTTACGTGACTCATGGGACGGATCGTTCATTGTGGACCCTGCGCTTGCCAAGCCTAGATGAGTCTCAAGCCGATGTAGCGCGTGCGTGGTTGGATTCCATCGTAGAAGAGACAAAGGTTGTCGAGACACAAGGAAACACGAGAGGATTGCACGAAGTGCTCGCACTCAACGAGGATAGAACGATTGGCTGGAGGGCGGACGACCGGTGGGATGAGCTCATACGGCTTCGTGTCGCTCTGCCCGGGGAAGTCTGAAGTTGCGGATACAACAGGTGTGTTACCCCGTCCGAATCAGTCAGTGTATTAACCCGTCCCCGTACTAGCCGTAGCACGCCTTGTAATATAACCACTGTCGTTGACCATACCTGTCTTCTATAGATCTGATATGATTTCCTGATCAAGAGAAGTCGAGGCCTCAGTGTACATACACAAACAACATACGCACTCTGCTTTCGGCGATCCGGTGCCGAAGCCTCTGGTTAATCACTGTGCATATTTGTGAGATCAGAAGACGGTCAGTTACTTCGCAAGACATCAAAAAAGGAGAAAAGACTTACTCATAGTTCGGTTCGAACATGTGCTGTGTCGTTGTTTGAATCGTTCACGTGGCGCGGTGGCTGCTCATGGCCATTGACTCACCTCATGAATATCGATCTGTTTGCAATAAGCTATGCAGGACAACCGATTGATCCAAGATTCGACTCGTAGAACTCAGATTTGGATCCGGCTGAAGGTCATATGTAGCGAAACATCGCCTGTCGAACGCAGCCAAAGAGTCCCCGACATGAACGATCAAGAGTGTTCCATCGCAAACATACTGATAACTACTTTGAACTCAGCAGGATCCAGACTCACCGATTTATTCCCAGCTAAGGGCGCTCAACGAGTCGTGGTTCCAGTTGAAAAGCGCGGGACCACGGGGGAACTTTAGCTGCCTCTCCAGGTATCGACCATCCGATCCAGAGCCACTAATTCTGGTTTCATTCATTCTCTGCGCGCGCAGGTAAGAAACTACGTGATTCGATCCGATGCGAACAAATTTGTGACGATAGGGCTTCTCGAATCTCGAAGTCTTACGCACCCGGAGGTACTAAACGCCAGAAGGCAACTGAAGTATGTCGATCCCCTTAATAGCTCGCTTGTCAATCACTAACTCTACGATCATTCACTGATTTTTTTTTCATTAGAATTTTATTAGTCGTCGAGTCTGAGTTGAGCCACCTACCTCTCACGCCTCACATTCCTCAATACGTGTTCTAGTTATCATATTGCCCGCAGCCTGAATATCAACACCGAATATTTGACGCATGGATACCATTCGCGATACAGAAAAACGTGACACTTTCAAGCGCGATGGGTCAATAAGACACGCGATGCGGCAGTCCGCCCAGTCTGTGTGTTGTAAAATTCAATCAAGGGTGGCAGATTTTGACTGATTGGCTCTTAGCCGGTAGAAAACGCACAAGACCTTGTGATACCACCAGCTCCTGTCGAAGGACTATCGCTCGACATACTTCATGTCATTTTCGCCCAGGCAGTCAGTTTGTTCGAGCCTGACGAACGGCAATGTTTCGCCATCCATGTGGCGTCTGTTTGCAGAGCGTGGCGAGATGCTGCAGTCGACACTTCTTCGTTATGGTCGACTATATACATCGATTCAGGCCATTTACCATCAATTGCGATGCTTCAGTTATTCCTCGAACGATCGCGCAACCAGAAACTGGATATCTCCATTGACTGGGCCCACGGCTTCATGAGGAATAAATGGAACGAGGAAAAACTCTCGGCATATATCGCGGCGGCAATGCATGCTTTGGTACCCCACATGAGCAGGTGGGAGACCATGGACATTAGTTGGAACATCACTGGTTCCGAGGGACCTGGGGACACGATTGAACCACTCTTTGTCGGTAACGCGGATGCGCTGACCTACCTTTCTGTATATTGCTTTGATCACCTGCCCCTTCGTGAAGAACGCCGTGACCTTCAATATTTTAAGAAGACATTTACTGCGCCGCACTTGACTACACTCGTCTTGCTGTCAATGCCTAGTGGCTTCGAATTGGGATGTCTAGCAGATTGCTTTCCCGCGCTCGAAGATCTGACGTGGAGCGAGGATGGGTTCGAAACTATCGAACACTGGGATACCGCACATACGTTCCTACAGACGTGTTTCGGACGCTTGCAGCGATTACGTCGCCTCAAGGTCGACGGCTTGTTCATCTCCGATCCTTTCCCAGAGCGCTATATATCCGAACCCGACCTTTTGACTTTGTTGCCGACACTAGAGCGCTTGGAAATTGAAAGAACCGACTATCACATCTTCGATGAAATCATGTCCGCTATTCGTGCTCCCAGACTTGTCCATATTTCCGTGTTCGGGGTATCTTTTACGCCATTGCCCGTGAGCAGCCCATTCCACGGGTTTTTGCAGCAGTCTAGTCGACTTCCTGCTCTTCATTCTATTCTTGTCGAAGCCACTTCGAAAGACAGGGATATTCCAGACCCGGATGAGTGTTGGGCGATGTTCGGCTCATTGCCGTGCGTTCGGTTTGTTACGATAAGCCTTCAAGAATTTGAAGACTTGCTTCAATCGTGGTGCGAAGAACAATCCGCGGAGGGATGGCGATTTCCAAGAGTCACATCCTTGGAGATTTTTTGTGATTCCGTCTCTCTCCCAGTTTCTGTGCTCCGTACACTCGTAACTAGTCGCCAAATCGCGCGAAAGAAAGATCCTGATGTGGGGTTGGAGGTAGTACGTTCCCTCAAGATCTACACCAAGAAGGTCATGGCAGCGGAAGAGAAAAGGTTTTTCACCGAAAATGTACAGGAATTCGTATGGACTTCGGGCCTCCCGCCGTGGTATCCCGTCAATATCCACCGGCAGCCTGGCTACGACCATGCTAATCGCCTCGCAGTTCAATGGGTGCGTCTATCTTCTTCTAGTATTTAATATTCACTGACGACAAAATATCGCGTATTCATAGACCAACAGTTGAAACGGTTATGGGCATCGATGTCACGGTTATAGTGTATGATGCATTGGACACTGGGCACGAGTTGGAGATTCTCATGCTCGGTACTTGAGTTCACCTCGCGGTCATCGCTGTCTTCCATAAATTGGCTTGGTACGGAATTTTGAATGTCGCATCTCTGAGCCCAAGTGATAGCATCTTCTGCGAGAATACAGAGGGGCAATTCATCTGCGGCAACACAACGGAAGGTAGCGCCTTCATATCCAGAAATGCCCGAAGTTGCCGTTGCGGTGGTGCAATGTACGATGGGAATCCTGTCCACTCGAGTCTACGACATGCAACATATGTTCTAGAAATTTTATATCGTGCAGACCTAGTCTTTACTATTTGGCTGTGCTGCCCGACATCTAGCTCTTCGAAAGATTGTCACGATTTTTCGTACTTGGGCGATGTATAGATGCACCTGCTCGTGAAGCTATGAGTGATTTAATCTCATATGCCTCGTGCAATATCAAATACTTGTCGGTCTTTTCTTATATGCTCAGCGTGAGACGAGTTGTGCAGCGACCTGAGACACCTGAACGGTCCTGATCATGATTTAGGAACTTGCGCCAGTAACCCCCTGAGCCTCTTGGGAGCTCTTAGGTCGCCCTTTAAGTGCATGCGGAGGGGCTGAAAGGATATGGATCGATGGCACGTACCAATGTGAGCTTAAGCCATTCTTGATGAGGAGGAGTATATATTAGCAAAGACAGTACAAACCAAACCGTACAAAAACTCATTCAGGTCGTTCAGCAAAATTGCCATTGGATTGCAATCACAGTTCTGCCCTTTTTGTATGAAGTATTTTAGTGCAATTATAATGCATTGCAATTCAGAAAAAATTCTTCCGACAAGTAGCTGCCCCGTATGGCCGCCGTAGACTCTGTGTCCATTTACACGACATTCTCAACATGAGGATTGTTTGTAACTCAACTCTTCTCTGAAGCTATACCTCTCCCTGTGCAATTGTGTGCCAGCACACCACGAACACAGATCCCCATGTCGAACCTTCCTCCTGCATTGCCTGGTGGTGTCCTCGTCCTCAGCTCCTCAGCAGTCATCGACGCGCCTATAGAGAAAGTGTGGGACCTCCTCCTCAACTTCCACACTTACTCCGAATGGTATTTCTCTGAGCCTGATGCACTGGTCATGACTAACACTCCTTCCATGAACAATAGGAATGCCTTCGTGTACGTCTCCTTTCATTCAATTGCACTCTCATTGACAATCTGGCAGACACAAGCATATCATCGTAGACCCGTCGACAAACGAGCCTCTTCCAGACCAGACACCCCGTGAAGGCCTACATCTGCTCATGGAGGTCCACATCCCGCCCAACGAAGACCGTAGCCATCCCCCGACTTCACGCCCTCGCGAACTCATCACCGCCCTCGACCATGAGAGCCACCGTATCGCATGGCGGAATCTGCTACCATCTTGGTTCCTTTCCGCGGAGAGATGGCAGGCACTGAGCGTCGTTGAGAATGGGAAAACCTTATACGAGACGAGGGAGATCATGCGTGGCCCAGCCGCGTATCTTGTTCGCTGGTTTTTGGGGGGTAGCTTGCAAAAGGGATTTCAAGCTGTCGCAGACGGGTTGAAAACGAGAGCTGAGCAGCTGCAACAGTAAGCGCGGCTGATACATTTGTTCCTCCTCAGATCTTCGCTCATTCAGGTTATTCTATTGGAATGAGACTTGTATATACCATTCTCCTGGCTGGAACACTTCCGAATTTGACAAGTCAAATTAGGGCTGATTGTTGCTCGCGCTGTGATTTCAGACCAAATGCGCAGCTCTACAGCCCGTATTTCCTCAATCAAACTGTCTAACGTTACTTCGCCACTACAGTAGTGCCATGCGACATGCAATCTCCCTGAACCCAAACACTGATCCCTTGGCCTCCGATCATCTTACAGCCTTCCACTTCAGCGTTGGTTTCACGACCATAAAGATGAACGAACACTCACATGATATCAATATAAATTAAGAATAAATAGGAGAAACAAGCGCGGCAAAAGCCACCTCTTGCGGAGATTCCGGTGCATCTTAGACGATGCTGCCATACACACTGCACGGATTTTAGTTCACACACGCAGCACTATCTGAACACTAAAACCAAATGCGTACTCTTTGAGTGTTTGTATATCAGGAGTCATATCTTCGTCCTCGGCGTGGTCCACGAAGAATCCGACTGCAAGGGGATTTGCAGAAATGTATGCCACATCGTCGTGCACGGAAGAATGCTCGCTCCCGCCATCAAAATATGCGTCGCTCAGGAGGTCGTTCAAGGGGGCACCGAGGTTGCCTGCAATGCTGTAGGAGAAGCGGAGGGAAGAGAGTTGAGATGTCCCTAAATCACGATTAGTGGAAAGTTTGTTGATGGCATCTTCTTGTAATTCAGAGTCGGAGAGGTACACGCCGCGCAGATTAAGGAGGAAGCGCGATATCAATATCGAGCTTAGCCTGGGAGATGCGTGGTCGTTGATGTATGCAAGCAGCAAAAAGATGCGTTCACGTACACTTCTGTGAGAGCTGGAATACAACCATAGTCCTGTAGTCAAAAATGAGTGGCGGACAATGATTCAGCTGTCAAAAAAAAAACCATACCTGAAATTTGATCGCTATCAGATTGACAACGTTCAGAACTAGTAACGTCCTGGGAAACATTTATTCTAAAATGATATAACAGAAAAGGTGTGGAGGACGAACAAGAAATAGACAGTTCCTGAAGAGCAGTTCACTTGAGCAAACATTTGTGAGGTGGCAATGGAAACATACCATCCCTCTGGATCAAGCTTGAGATGCTTCCTCCTTTCACGTGAGCAGAAGAAAAAGCTCGCTGTATCTCCGCTGTTTTGAGCCAGGTGAGAATCAGGACAATGGCGTCCGAGCATATAGCAAAAACGCAGTTGAAAATGGCGACTATATACCAATCAGCTTTGGTGCTTGATAAACGAACACACTCAGCTCACAGCTAAAAGTGTTATCAGCCAGTCGCATTACAACCAGACCAACAGGTACTGACATTTCACCCGCTGACGCACTCATATGAACCCGCACCGCACAGCCATAAAGGGGCGGAGGAGCAGCCTCTTCTTGGAGTGTCGTATAATAGAACTGGTTGGACAGCATCGCAACGCGATTCACTGTGCGGGATACTTGGAAAAACTCACAATATTGGCGGCGGGTGACACCAGCCCCAGCAATATAACAGCAATCAGTATTCGACGATCCCTGTTCCAGATAGCGTATAGTCGCAAAGACGTGAAAACTGATACCATTACTGAGCCTCTAGGGGCAACCACGGATTACCAGTACACGCACCAGCAAGGATCAGGTCCAACATGATCGTTATCACCTGGGTAGTGTGATCAAGGCCGACGCAACTGACGTGGAATCAGTATATCGATTCCGGTAGTCTGAGAGAATACCTACATCTATTTTTGAAAAGCAGTAGCGGACGAGGCAAGTGAATAGCAATAGCCGATACGAGAGGTCAAGACGCACATCATCAGCAGTCTGCTGAGGCAGGTATTGCCAGGGAAGAATGACTAGTAGCATAAGGATGCGGTATATGATGCTGAGGTAGCGATTGAGAAAGAAGAGAACGGTTGCACCGGAAAACTTGCGTCTCCAGATACATTGGATTTCTTGAGCGAATGTCAAAATGTAATCATACAGAAGAAGCACTGCGTGAAGGTTGAGCGGATAGGGAATGTTCAGGGACGGGAGACTCACTCATGGCGGCAACTGTACAAAAGTTGGCCAGCAACCTAGACAGCTCCACAGTGAACATCCGAGCGACAAGGACGGAAACATACTTACATGTTGTTAAAATCGGTCTCGACCAGTGCGAGATAACCAGCGCTCGAGTTGCCCTGCAACATATTACCGTAGTATGCAGCACAGCTGCGACGAAAGGAAAAGGAGAGAGATGGGGAGACAGTAAAAGCCTAGTCCCGAAGAACGCTGAGGATGTGCGTAGCGTAATAAGACCGATACCCATCATCCCGGCATTCGTTCGCCGAGGCTAACTGATGAACAAGTCGAACAGCATGCCAGGCAATGTTACCTCCTCGATCTCGTGTACACAGCCTCACCTGCGCAGTCATCGCCCGTACTTATTCCCCTCGCAGGGAATATCGCCGTCTCGTCTCGTCGTTTGATGATTTATACCCCAAACCTTCTATTGAAGACTGACCACGATCCTAGCTCTCCTAGGAATTAACCTGACAGTGCATCATTGGTAGCAGTGGCCTGGACAACGCTCATGGTTGCCACCGACCAACGTTGGACAGATCACATATTGATTTGCCTCTTATTTCCCACCCCTTCGGTGTTAACACACCATCCATGTCGCTTCAATACATACTAGGATGCATTAGAATCCTCATCTGAAATGCGTTCTGTCCGCCCATGCCGCCTCCAGATTCTTTATTGACCGAGGTCCTCCGAATTACTCATTTTGCTTCAGATATCAAACTGGATCAGTGAGCACGCTATGTTTGTTTCCTGAAAGTCGCACCTGACGCTGATAATTAATTTCATGTTCTCACAGTATGCTGGCTTACAAGCGCGTTGTTCCTGGTTTCCCGTCGTTGCGTGATTGAACGCTCTCGCAATCGCTTGAAACGTGGATTGCATCATTTTTCGCGTCGTTGGGGCGTTGCTTCATACCAGGTAGGATAAACTCGGCTCATACGAATTACTCTCGTTTTTGATCAGTGCTCTCAGAACTTCTTGTCGCTCCTACCGAAAACTCGGATTGTGCCATCCACGATTCACACTTAGTCATTGTGCCTGACTCAAGACGTGGGCCGTACTTCGAGTCGGGGCTTTCGACGCTGTTACGGCAGAAATCAACTTGGGGGAAGGACACGGATGTCTGGTAGAGTAGGCATTTGGGATCTGAATATCATATCATTGGTACTGATTTCACCGGACATCCTCGGGGTGCGTGACAGTACAGACCTATACAGACCCTCCCACAGAACATCTCAATTATTTCAATCGGAAAGCCGAGGGTGCTTCACTCGTAACACCTTGCTACCAGTATAATGGTAGATTAGTAGATGTTCTTAATCAACTCCGAGTCTTTATCACTTGTAAATCTGACAGCTTCGGAAATCTATTCTTCAACGGGGACGTACTACACCCACAGACTTGCATGGCGAACTACAAACGCAATTATAGTGGCCAAAATTAGAGAGCGCGGGCAAGATTTCCATAGGCAGACTTCGTTAATAGTGTCAGTACAACTTATATTATAACCAATCCATATTCCATAGCAGCAGGTTGTCCACAGAAGCTCAATATCCCACTAACTTTCTAGAAAAAAATTACAAGATAGTACTCCTGTTCAAATTTTGGATAACAATTATCCTGGGGGGCGTATCGGTTTCTCAATAAAAAGTCCGCGATTACCCATTGCTGACGGCCAAGTATGTATTGGTGCGTACATCATGCCGGTCACTAACATTGCGGCTGGAGCTTCCGTTGGACGACGATACAGGGGGTGTCATGACGATGACAGATGAAAACATTGCCGACGATGACGTCGGACCAGAGGATCCGGAGGCTGGGTGAGTGACATTCATACCGCTCTGCTGGAGGATGAATTTCCTCAAGACGCCCACATTCAGCGTGTATCGTCGCGAAGGTTCAGGTGGATCTTTGTGAAAGTGGTAAGAATAATGACCTCACACGAGACTAAACGCATACCGTCTATGGCTACTTTGACTCCATCTTCTTGGTGGGGACTCTTCCGTCTCACTCGGCAAAAACATGATGGGCGGAACGTGTAGAGAACGGCCAGGATGACAAGAAGGGCCACGGCGACGCATCCAACTACTATGCCGCAGATGGCCCCCGCTTTCAAATGTTCACCGGAGGGCAAATGGACGGCTGTGACTGAGGGCGAGCTTACTTTATTACTGGATATAGCAGAGGGCGTTGGAGCCTCTATGGTATCATTAAAGCCAGAATACTGGAAGAAGTTCAAGCACAGGGGAGGTCCAGCTCCTGTGGTGATTTTCAGGGTATGCTCGCTAGCGGTCAAATTTGCTGAGGATGAGTACAAGGGCAGGGGATCAGGAGTGTTCTGCCCGGGAAGCTCGAGCGAGAATGGTATCGTGTCATCCAACTGGAAAGTCGCATTTGTTCCCTGTGTCCCCACCACACCGTATGCGTCAACAAATGTCCCTATAACAAGATTTCTTCAGCAAAATTTCCAGATAAATCTTAAACCTAGCACTGTACCGGTGAAAGTAAGTTTTACCCACGCCCCAGCAGTTACCGACCCGCGTAGCTGTGTACCGTTTATTTGATCACAGGCGGTCGGGCTCCATGCATCCGAAGGATAATAGACAAGTTGCGGACTATCGCTTTGGACGTTGAAGAGAACCTGGTGATTATGCGACATGAGCTAGGATGAACTGCATTCCGACAGAGTATGAGCCACACCGCTTTGGAATGGTCGACGTACAGGCTGCTTACCGTGAAATACAATGCATTTGCTTTGGTATATACCCCAGGTACATACGATAATCCTTGAGAGGTTCACTACAAATATCAGCCTACCTCCACGTACATATAGTAGCGTCCGTTTTCGAAAAGGCGCTGAAGATAGCAGTAGCGTGCACACTGCACAGGCCTCAGGGCTCAGCGACGATATGATGCCCACCGATCACGAACTTAAACGTCACAGCATCTGAACACTGGGCCGCGGTCACACAGCCGCACAAAGCGAATGCTGCTCACATCATCAGTGCTACCGATGGATGTCTTCGTCCACTCAATACTGAGTGGGACTGACATATCCGTATTTCGACCACGTACGAATACCTGAACTCGGCCCGCGAGACAAGCATTTTTTGGATGCACAAATCTTCCGTGCCGTCAAGATCTGATGAGACATATCGGGAACTGGTAGAAGCTGTTGGAGCGTGAGGCACTGGGCGTAGTTACGCCCTAAAACGCGAACACGACCTTCATCAGACCAGAATCCTCAGGGCAGCCGACGGGACCGGATACTCTCTGACAGACGCAGAATTACGATCTGACATTTTGTTCATATTGCATTATTCCGATGAGGATGGATTCCGCTCGTAGAGACATGCTGAACAGTCGAGGCATTCTCTCCTGTATTAGTTCCTGTATTAGTTCACTCAACTCACACAGATTAAGTTGTTGTACGGACCTCGGATATGCTAGAATACCTCTGAACCACACCATGATCAATACTAGCTAGAAATCGCAGAGCACAACTAGTGATTGGATGTTTGATAGATTGATCAGTATATAAATCAAATATGCGATATTTGTGAACGATAGCTAGATAGTCCAGGTAAGGAATGCATATGGATGCAAAGGTGATGATCATGCAGGATGGGATCCGGATACGAGAGGTGTCACAGTATGGTCAATCAAATAGATGCTCGTCATAAGCGATGAAAAGACCAGCATTAAGGAACTCGCTGTAAGCACAGTATACCGCGCGGATGAAACACCGGTTAGAAGTGACACAACAACGAATATATTTAGGGGCACCCGGAAAAGTGACGATAGCTGTAATAGGAAGAACGGATAAGTCTACCCGTCGGAATGCGAAAAGGGATGAATCGTACTGTGGCCCGATGCTCATTAGAGATAAGAGTGCCTCGGAGCATTCCCTGCACAGGATAGTACATGCCTACGCAGGCCTCGAACGTGCAGAACGCCCAAAAGCGTACATGCTCGTCCTTGCTCTGGATACTCACCGCGAATGCGAGCGAGCTGATAGCGCATACAAGAGAACTGAGTTTGGCATGAAGTGACAGCGGACCGTCGCTCTTCGAGACTGAGATGATTGGATCCCGCGGGTTGGGATCGGGAGGACAAAAGAGAGCGACGACGGAGGTGTATAGAAGCGATCCGATCATCATAGAAACCATGAAGGATGAAAAGATATATCCGAGCGGGAGTGAAGCGTCTGCGGCAGCAACCTCTTGCAACGCAGGCACCCAGTTGAAGACAAAGAGGTACATGGATCCCTCAAAGCATGTCTGCGTAAGGCCGATCACTAGCAGTGATGGATCTGGCGAATGGTATGAGTCAAGTCAAGCTCTGCACACTGTCTAAAACACAAACCGCTGCGAATAATCCTCCACGCTTGACCAAGCCGTTTGAGTTGGAGCGGATCGACATTGGCTGCTGACGTGCCGCCGCCAACACCGTAATTCTCGGCCCAGCTGCCTCGAATGACAACCCAAGCCAGCAAGAGCAATATCCCACTAGCCACGAACGGAGACGCAAATGACGCAGTCGTGCCAACAAGCTGGTTACTAACCACACCAGCAGCGGCCGCGACAATCCCGTTCACAAACGATGCTCGTCCCATGATACCCGAGAGATCAGACTGCGGAAGGACCAGCGAGTTCGAGGCGGATACGAGCCATGATTCGAAAGCGGAGTATAGAATGGAGGTTGATACGCCTCCGAGGACACGGCCAACCAGAAGGACGGGGAGATAAGGAAAGAGGATACAGATACAAGTGAGCGTGTAGGTAATACAAAATGTGAGGCAGAGCCGACGGCGTCCGCTGCAGCAGAGCTCGCACATCAGCGAACAGTAAGAGATGTCAACTAGACATACTGGTGGTCTGCCCATACGCCTACCAACGGTGCGGTGAGGCCAGCAGACATGAATCCAGTCACGAAGAGCAAGGCAACCAGGCGCTCTGGAAACATGTATTGCTGCCTATAAAGAGAGTAGATGTATGGGCCCTGAAGCCAGTCCGCACCTGCCAGATGCGTCGTCAGCTGTACGTTCGGAACCGTGGCCTCTAGTAATCTTCGAGTAGTGACTTGCCCATCACGACGGCATACACAGTCAAGTACTGCCTGGTCAACCTTGATAGCACGGCCGCGTTGGCGGTGGACAGAAGGCCATCCCCATTCCGCAAGTCTGTCTTGGCGCTGGGTCGCACTCGTTTTGTCACCTGTCTTTCAACTAGAAGACAGATGAGGCAAACTCCAGAGATGCACACGAGTTGGAGTTCGTAGAAGGGCAGCATCCTAAAGACAATGGAAAGGATTACAATAAAGCATTCGAGCGGCGAACGAAGGAGGAAGTCGTGTTGCCCTTAAACGTCCGGTCCAGTGAGACGATTTGGATGGACGAAGGGGTCTAAGGGTATATGGTGGTAGGTGTTCAAGGAGCTGCGCAGAAACATGGCCGGCAAGCGGTTGCGTTCAGCAACGTGTAACATGCTCACGCCCAGGTTGAAGAGACTGCGACAGACGCCCATGGCGGCCGTCCGACGACCTCCGCACATACTTTACTACTTAATTTACTGCGTCTAGACTCTACGGCAGTAGGACTAGGAGACCATAAGCCATTCATTACTTTCGTGAACATGTAGTACGGCGCGGAATAAATACACGACCAGCCACAACACCTCAGTTCGTCTGGGCACCCACAGCCTACGCACGAAACATAAGCGGCTACGCGGTAAGGGAGCACTGAGGCAACTTACCAAACGTTTGAGGTGTTCCATAAAGACCTGTAAACTGACATCATCCGTGAAAATGGCCTGTCCAGCGGCCGCGCCTCCAGCAGTGCCATACATACTCGTCGTCATGTGTGTGGTCGAAGGATTCAGCTTCGATAGCAAGAAACGCGCCTGACTGGCACCCTGGTCACATACAATGTATCGTGGAATGGGGAATCGGTCAACAAGCAGGTCCTGTAGCATGGAAGATATTAGAAAATTAATGACCCTAGAATTCAAAATGAGGTACCTGAGCGTCGGCGGTAGGTGCTTCAAGTAGCTCCTTGAAGTTCTCGTAGCCTTCTTGGTCTTGATACCCAGCCTTGCGCCACTGTGCGATGGTCTCACCGTGGAAGATGAGAATATGGAAGAAGGTATCAAGAAGAAGCATGACATCTGGTTTGATGGATACACTGTCGAGGAGCACAGGCTGAGGAGGAACGTCAAATGTATATGACATTAGAGTCGGTTGGATCATGATAAGCGAGTTGTTGACATCTTCCTCGTTCAAGATATGCCTGCAAAATCAAACGTAAGTAATTGTCCTATGGCATGTTCGGTGAAGGCCTAACCTGTAGAACGCGGTCTCGTCTGGACTGTTATTGAACACTTGCAAGAACTGACTTCGGCGGAGATGGAACATGAACTGTGGATAAATGCTGAAATTGTCGGTCAATCTGAAGCTTGTTGGATCCTCCTTCCTGTAATCGGCGAATTTTTGGCATAAACGAATAAGCATACGGTCCAACCATCTGAGTACATCTGGGGAGTCGTCAATCTCAGCCTTGAATACGGCGATACGCGCCATCAGCACAGCCGCCGCCTCTTGGTCAAACGAGGCTGCAATAGTGGGCGAGCCTGCCTCAGCAAAGTTGCGCGCAATGGTTGTCACCCGCAGTCGCTGTTGCCCTGATGAGTGCTGGTAGTGCGTGACAAATTGGATCAGCCCCCTCGAGCCCTGTTGCAGCGGCTGTCCAGCAGGCGTGACGACTTCGAAGTAGACGGCAGCGGCTGTGCGTGGGGTAATCGAATTAATCTTCCAAGCCGACGTCTGCCCGATACCAATCTCGGTTTCACCGACACATGCAGACTTCTTCGCAGCAGATATGGCATGACTAATGAGACCTGAAACTTTCAACTCCTTGGTCGTCTAGACAAGGAAGCATAAGCGTCAGTTTCCCAGGGACATCCTGACAATCAGACATCTAACCTGAACATCAAAGGTCGCATTGAAGCCCATCTCAAGATTGCCCTGGTCGTCCTTGTTGAATACACGCAGAAAGCTCTGTTTGAAGATGGAAGTTGCGAACGAGTCCGACAGAACAATGACACCATTTGTTGAGTTCGGGAGGGATTTCATCTCTAGCAGTCCGACCTGATCCAGACATCCTGCAAATAGGTCAACGATATGGCCATTATTTGAGACACGCTTTGCGAGGCCTTCGTAAAACTGCATCGCAGTCAATTCACTCGTCTTGACTGTATAGACTATTTACGCGCACCTTAGTAGCGCGTTTATAATGTTTCGCGGTATCCCGATCAATGTCGTGGTGAGACCGGATGGGTTCTTTCAACTCGTTGCTGACCACCATGCCTGGACCCTCGGTCGCCGCACCACCAGCGAAGAGCATGACGCGAGCCCCCGTGTTCGGGAAAGTCGACTGAGCCCCGTTCAATGACTGAACCACTCAAAACACATCATCCACTTACCTCCAGCAAACCAACAGCAACGCTCAGTGCGACACCTGTGCAACGGAGAGGCCTCTTATCGTTCGCAACCGGCCACGGGTCTCGCGCTAGCGCTTCCAGGATTCCCGTCAGCTGAAACTCGCACTGCTGCACCGGAAGAAGGAAGCGCGCGGCGCCGAAGGTTTGCATAGGTTGACCTGGGCGCGGCGCTGCGCGATTTTGAGAGCTCAAACCGAGCATATCTTGAATCTGCTTGGGGGAATACTCTTTGCCGCCTCGGAAGACGTATGACTTGCTGCACTCGGCGTAGCCAAGTTCATGTACTTGAGTCTATGCCAGTTCCTTTGGTTCACTTCACCTCGGCACAAACACACGGACTTACCATAGTTCCAAACGTGACAAGGCCGACCAGCGCATAGGGTGGGATTAAACTCAAACTGACAACGAGCGCGTCACGAAGGGCTTTCAAGTCTTCTTCGTCTAGGCAGGTGTCGACGACGAAGAGGAAGATAGGAGGAACTTGCGCAGGGCGCGAGAGGGTGTATTCTATCGTGGTGTACTTCGGAAGGAGCTCAGCGGGGAGGTTGGTATTCGAGATGTCCTTGTAGTGTGGGGGGAACGCGTTGCGTTGTAAGCAGAACGGGCATATCCACAATTTGCCGCGTATGTCGATCTGACTACAAGTTGTTAGCATATGGGAAGCATTTTTCAAGGGATCCGCGCCTGCTGCGCGAAAGCATCCGCATCAACGACTGACCGGCCTTGCATACGTACCAGTAAGGATTCAGGACGGCGCGACAAGGCGGTTTGCAGGTGACCGGTTCGTACAGAACGGGAGGAAGGTCTTCGCGCTGCTTGAGAGGCGTATATAGGGCAGAAATGGGAACGACCGTCCGAGTGGCCTCTATTCTCGACGATGGCCATACGTTCCAAGAAAGACGTACGCCTATGCATCCGGGGTCAGAGCGTGTGGGTTAACTTCGGCAAAGGCAAACCACATACCGTCCCGCTCCTCGACATCTTCAAAATTGAGCATGTTTTAGCTGCAGATATCCTCGCGGCAAAGAAGGGCCAAGGTGTTGGTCTGGCGAGCTGAGCTTTGGCTGGGCAACTGACAGGCATTTCTTGTCGGCGCCAGCAACGGCGACGTGTCTGTATGCCGCTGTTTGTTCCCGGTGGCAGCGTCGGCGTCGTATCCAAATATCCGATTCAAACTCTGCAGTATGGCCACAAGTCTACGGTCGCACGGCGCACGACTTTGATTTACATGCTCTTGAATACGCTTCAGGAGACAGGCTTCAAGGACATGCATGCCTCTCATTAAGGTGCTATTTATGCGTTGTCAAGAATATTATCTATTTCGATCGATCAGGCTAACTTGTCCCACTTGTCTATCATCTAAAGTCCACGTATCTCTTTAATACCTCGAGGCTTCAGCTAAGGAACGCCGTTGCATCTGCTTTTGTTAAATTGTAGGCTTGCGATTGTAATCACAATTTAAGCTAAGATGAATAGCTGTCTGTCTAGAAGTAAATGCCTCTTAGAGAAACACAATCAACTCGAGTTTCTCGATCCATGATTGACATCGATTTCTGCCTTACTTCCACCTCCCATCACTGGCCACCCGATCTGATTCGCCAGTGCCGTTGATACACCCAGTTGTTCAGCAAATGCCCAGACAGTTCCAGGATTCCTCTGAAATTGTCGTCCGACGAAGATAATATCTGCGGAACCCTACGCGAGTCAGCTGGTAATCTCACCGTTGAATTCTGGTAATTCACCTGGTCAAGGATCTCCTGTGCGAATGTGCCTGTATTGATCGTGCCCACAGCGCCGACAAGTATCTTATGGCCATGAACGTCTCGCACCGCGTGGGAGTACGGAATCTGGTTTGCGAGCGGAGCGAACTTGATCTTTTGCTGGGGATGAACACCGCCACTAGATACGTCGAGCAAGTCGACACCGTGCTCCGCGAGGATCCCTCCGAGCTTGACAGTGTCCTTGCCCGTCCATGCCTCATCCGGGAACACTTCGTCAAGCCAGTCTGTCGCCGACACACTGTAGGTTGTGGGTTAGTGAGAAACACTTTCTCGGGACGCATATACGGGAACCTACCGGACAAATAGCGGCATCGTAATGGGTATTATGGCCCTCACGGCATCGACAACCTCTAGTAAGAGACGTATTTTATTCTCGAAGCTTCCCCCATATTCATCCGTGCGTTTGTTTGCAATAGGTGCCAGGAACTCGTTTAGTAAGTATCCATGCGCGGAATGGATCTCAATCACATCGAAGCCAACTTTGAGCGACCGTTTTGCGGCATCCGCAAATGCACGCACGATGCGCTGAATCCCTGCCTTGGTCAGCTCCTTTGGCCTCGGGAAATGTTCATTATACGGAATCGCACTCGGCGCCCACACGTTGTCTGGCCACCCCCCGTCGATCTCTGGAGCGCTAGCACCGCGGTTCAACCAAGGTGCGACGGTGGATGCTTTCCGACCCGCGTGTGCAAGTTGAATGGCGATCTTCTGGCCCTGGGAATGGGCGAAGTCGACGATCTGCTTCCAAGGCGCAATATGCTCGTCAGACCAGATGCCGGCGTCTTGCGGTGTGACGCGGCCTTCTGGGACGACGGCGGAACCCTCGACGATGGTCAATCCTGGTCCGCGCATCAAGATACCGCCCACTAAATATTTGTGTATTAGACACAACGGAGTGGAGAAATGGGCCACCCACAATGTGCGAGATGCCACGGGGTCACTATACCGTTCTCTGCAGAGTATTGACACATGGGCGATAGCTAGGTGTGTGGCATCAGAAGATTGATGATGTGCTGCAATGAAGTGTGCACTCACAAAAATCCGATTCTGAAAAACTGTGCCTCGAATTTTGAGGGGCTTGAACAATGTGGGGATAGGTTTCCCGTTGGGTTGAGGGTCAACTGCTGTTCCAGCTGCAGGGGTCTGTGCGGGAGTATAAAAAGGCACATTGGGCGCGGGGAAGTTCACCAACTGATTGGCGTGCACCATCTCGTCTCAGGAGGGGGTATAAGATGTGCCCCAGAACATCTTCCTGTTTTTATACCAGTTGGTTCGTGGCATAGGCTGGACGGTGGTGAGTGCTCTCTGCTTTGGACTATGTCCGGAAATAACTCCAATCTCAATATCAGGGCGCTCCGCTAATGCGCTATGTGCTATAGTCGAGGACCTTGACGAGCAATGTCTGAGTCAATTCGGGTGTCCGTGTCAGATTTTTGTCATCGGCCGACTCATCGGGGAATTTCCTCATTAACTTTATTGACACACATGCCAGTTAGAACTCGATGAGCTGAGGAGGGGTTCACTGAATTGGTGTTGCCGACATCTCCGCCCAGCGTGAGCATAGTGCGCTTCAACTCCTATTCACCACACTTGCAAGCCAACGCTGTCTACGCACCATTTATCGCACATCCTCCTCCGCAGGGAAGACCCAATCCATGACTATCTTCTTTTTGTCAACTTAATCTTAACTCCGTGTTGCTGTCTAAGCCAGACATCAATCTCATCTAAGACGGGTCATGAAATTGGCCATATCTCGCTGATTATGAAACGCTTGTTGTACGATGCGCATCCGTCATGTGGATAAATGCTACCCTTTCTCAATTTATGAAGGACGCACGGACATATGATATCCGCTCCCAACTCGGGATAAGTGTGAGGCTAGCCTTCGGCTTTAAGAGACTTGGTATTGCGAGTTTCCAGTGTGTGGCGTGTAACTGATATGTATCAAGCACACTCGAAGTGAAGCACGTATAAATTACATATGACTATAGCCATGAGCCTCACAAAGTGGCTCAGAGATTCCAAAAATTATTGACAGCAGGTCAGGGGGCCCGACGACGCTCGCCCGCGAAAAGCAACACATCGACAGGCCCGCACCGCAAAGTGCAATAGCATGGCTCCTGTGCGAAAACAATCTGTCATAGCTCCCCTCGTACAACAATACCCGCATCGAAAGACTGTATTTATGGCGGCTCACCGACAATCGCAAAAGATTGATTACTCTGCTGGCTGGTTCCCAAACTGTATAGGCAGTGGAAACTGTCATCCATAGAACTGTCATCCTATGGATGACACTTATCTCGCTTTCGAGATAAGATATCATGAATTGCATGGAATTGCATGGAATCGCATCAATAGCATGAATTGCACAACCAAATTTTGCACAACTAAGTTGTACAACTCCAACCTTTGGCTGGAGAAGAGCACTGTTGGGGCGATGCCATCCGAAAAAGGCTCGCAGATTGCGAGACACTTCATCAGATAGATGAATATCACCCACATCAGTAAGCAGAGCCAGTCAATTCGATGGGCGACCTCCAAAGAGGTACAGGAGGGAGCCATCCCCCTGCCAATAAAGCAGTGAAGCCGATAGGGAATGCATGACAAACGACGTCGCCAGAGCCGATGCTGAAAAGAGGAGGCAGGCTTTCCAGCTCTCGCAAGCGGTGCACGACGAACATCGCAACCTGAAGCTACCGCCATGACAGAAATGAAGAAGACGTCGCGCAGATAGCAAGCCTCCTTATAAACAGCTCAGTGTTCGCACGTGACAGACGCGTCGCGTCTGTGGCTGATTCTATGGCTATCTGCGCGCGTGGTTCTGAGTACTTAGCGTGCGCCGTGCGCGACGATTTCAATCACACCAGAAAGAATCAAAGGTACGCAGATTTTCAGATAAATCTATTCACAAATTCTCAGGTCACCCTGAACATGATCAAAACATGATTGAGCCCCCCTCGTGCCGCATCTAGACCTTTAGTCCATAATCTAGGCAAAGATGTCCACAGAGTGTGTTCTAGCTCTCTTCTCTCCGTCTCCGTCGGAGCCATGCAAATGCACCAAGTCCATAAACACGGAGCCGAAGGTGTTTACCGCTCCCCGCGATTCTCTGTCCACATGTAAGATATGACTTCGTGGTCGAGTCTGGGCCCTCTGCGATTCGGACCCCTGAAGCCAACGTCTGCAGCCTCGCCTGAAGATGATTAACCGTTAGTCTCTCTCGATCGTGTTCGTTCATACTCGTCTCCGCTCGCCGCTCTTCCACGTTTGCCCTCTCCACATCTTCCGCAGTGCTGGGTCTCCGATCGTTACTTCGACTTCGTGTCGAAGTGACGGCCAAGCTATCAATAACGTTGCACTTCCCTTTCAAATATGGCGACTTGGAGTCCCTTGTCCTCCGCGGAGCTGCTCGGGTCCGCTGCCTCTTCTTCTGCCGCAGACAATTGCAGCATGATGTCATCGGTGGTGTTGAGCAGTATGAGTTGTAGGTCCTGCCGCCGTATGCGATCTCGATGCCTCCGACGCCGTGTGCGGGGCTGATCAGAAAATATCAATTGTATCGACAAAACACAGCCCACCACCCGGTCCCAGGAACATGACAACCCTGAGCACCGATTTCGTGGCGTAGTGCGTCTGTCCCGTAGTGCACTTGGTGTGAATCGTACGCACCGAATGGGATTTGGCCGATGCTGGCTTCGTTTCAGCCGATCGGAGACTGCAGATCTGCAAGATCTGGTCTATGTCATAACATAGCATCGGCGTATTCGCTAGGAACGGACTTCACGTACTAACGCGACCGGACGGATCATCCTTCCCAATGCATGCAATTTGGTAACAGCACCAGCACAGGTCCGATAACAATGACGCTAACGACTCCACTACTCTCCGCCACCGCAAGCTATCAGGGCGACGGCTCGCCACTGTTGCAAGGTCCGAGAATCCAGGACAATGCTAGCTGCTCCCATCATATCCGGACAGGGATGGCGAATAGGTGAGTGGGGTTTTCCGTTCCCTGACGTCAACTGGTAAGCATTACAAGAAGGGGCAGTGAATCAATCTTTGATATGATTCCCGGCTAGAATGCAGAGATTCAAGATGTCGGAAATCGCCGTGTCAGGACGCAACACGCAAGTGAAACCCTCAAATATTGGGGGCACTATGGAATCATACTTGAACCATCTGTCAATGGGTCGTACGCACAGGGTCAAGTTACGTGATTATATCACAAAATGAGCGAGGTAATTTCGACATTGACCACGCTGACCACCTAGTACCCTAACAAAGCACTGCCCCGAATCCGCATCAGTATATAGGAGGCCTGCAGTATTATGAATATTCACTCGCCTCGAAAACAGGCTTCTGTCCCAAAACAGAAAAACCGCACCAGACATTGTGTGACATAAGAGCAACCTGATTTTGATGCACTATTACACGAGGAGAAAAAGATGGATGTTCATCCCACGCAGCCACAACGGTCGCATGCACGCCTTCAGCCATATCTTTTTGTCATCAGAAGCAGGACAAAAAGACAGATGTTCATTGCCGAGAAGAAGAACTGCGAAGATACGTTTTCCCGGGAATCGTGATTCCACGAACACACATGGCAGACCGCTTGCTGTCATCAGTCCAGAGAAAGGGAACGTGGCGGGTTCCAATCATCAATAACAGATTACAGTAATTGCACCTGAAGGCAGGGTCGTGTTTCATCCACCAGATGAGTCCCCAGGCTGCACGCTTGCGTAGCGAGCACCTTCTCTACATGTGTCTCCACACGAGATTCGTGCGCCTCTGGCTTCGTCTACAGACGCGATACGGCACGAGGCAGACACGAAACAGCTAGTCAGGCAAGGAGTGCAAGAATAGCGACATACTCCGACTTGCTATATCCCAGGATGGTGTGCCCTGCGAGGTCGTGTGGGATTCCCCAGCTGCCACGCAATGTCCGCCGTCCTTATTGGCCAACGAGCGAATCATTGAAAACAAGATAGCATTAAGACGTACAGGAATGAGATCAAGCTTCGCAAGCGGCTCTCATTCAAGCAGAGCATGGCTTGTACCGGATAGATGGCAATACGCTCACAATTCACGCGACAGGGTGACATGAATGTCGCATAGAATCAATCCCGAAACACCACCGAAGACCATCATCCACAATCGTTTGACGGTGAGAGCGATCAAGAACACAGGAAGATGGGATGACGCAAGACCGGAGACGCTGCGGGATATCAAATGTGAAGGCGAGAAGCGGAACGAGGATGGAGATATCAACTCCCATTTCATCCAAGACAAGGCCAGTCACCTATGCGATAGCACATATCATCCTTGCGGAAGATTATCGAAGGAAGAGACCAAGCATCACCATCCAGAAAGCGAAAAAGAGACACTTCCCCATAGCGCAGCACGTCGTCGTCACACAGAATGCCGATGGCGACCACGCAATAGAGATAAGTATGACTTCAAGTGGCATGACGCAGGAACCAATATCATAGTGCCGCACGGAATCACCATTCTCCGGACGCCGACACGCCAGATCTCGGTTGTCCCAGAATGCAGAAACCGGCGCCGTCCCAGGGAAGTCCATCCGCTACAGCCAAATGGGAACAGCACGCCTTCCCGCTGTTCCCAGTCAGCGCACTCCCATCTCGTATCGAGAACTAGACTGTCGTAGCCTGATTTGCTGCCGTCAGACAGAGCCTGGATGGGCGGTGACGTGATGACCCGAAGATCTGAAGCCTCCCTGCGGCAGACCACCCAGGAGGGTAGCTACTATCAGAGTGCTCCAGAACAGACGGTGGACAGGGTCGGACGCGAAAACATGCCAGCGCGCAGCTGCGTGCAATACGCGAGTGGGGCGCGTTTGTACCGATCGTTCCAGAGCATCCAAGGGTCACCAAGCGCCTATCCTGCCTGCCAGTGGCTAGTGTAAGCATCGCCCTCCACGGCTTTCAGCTACGACTACGCACGACAAGTCAAGTCTCCGTTGTAGCTGATTGTATACGGTGTGGCCCGTCTGGTAGGCGCGTATTGCTTATCTGCTAAAGCACAGCTTGAACGACGCGAAGCGCGTCAGCACACCCGTCGTTCCCCGACTTCCACAAATCCCGCGCCAGCTGATGAGCGCACGACGCCCACCACGCGCACCCTGAGAACTGGGCTCATCCCTGAGTATTGAGTTCCCAGCCACCCGTACTGCCGCCTGCAATCCATTCCCTGCCACGGTCCTCCCCAGCCATCTCGCCCAAAGAGAGCAAAGACGAGCCACCAGCCGGTCAACGTGAAGGTGCAGATACCGTGCATGCTCCGTGTGTCACAAGGCGAGACAAAGTGCGTGCGAGGGTACAAGGGGAGGAATGACGAGAGCAGGCCGAGCGCACGGGACAGATTGCGCGGGGCATGACCAGATCTTACGTACCGCGCGAGATCCCATCCATCGCTCGTCCATCAAGCTCTGTGTGCCCGATATGGACCATGTCTTTGTCCGCCTGCGTGGCTGGTCGAAGCGGGAGAGTCGCCGCCGGACACCTGGGCGCTGCAGGCCATGGTGTGAGAGTGAGAGTGCTCAGGCATCCAGGGTGTCCGTTCTGGCAGTTGCGCTGCACGAGCCGGGCCTCTCGGACACGACAGCATCCACACCCTGCATGCGGAAGCAGTCGTCGCAGACCCGCTGAGCTCCCGCTGAAACGGCCTCGGACGGCCACGCACAATCCGGGCGACTCGTCCTCATCGATGCAGATCTTCCGCACGACCCCGCGAGCGACCGGTAGCCATCGGTCGGCACATCCCACTCGGACGACGACGACAACTAAATGGCCCGCGACATCCCGGCGAGCCAGAGCCTACGGAACACAGACAAGAAGCAAACAGAGTAATAGCCTCCGATCCTCATGGGGCAGTATCGAACGTAGACAGCGCGCCGAGCACATCAGGTGCGTACACCCAGAGAGCGTTGTAAGCAGCGGCCACGGCGGCGACAGCTGCATGCCACCAGGCCGCACACGCACCGAGCTCGTGCTGGACCGTGGACGTCAGGTGGACGGATCCCGCGAAATGCTCCCGAGCAGATGCACGGGACTGCCACACGGACGCACGGAACGCAGCGCAGACGACGCTGAGCACGACAAGCCGTCGCCCCGCGCCCCGTCGGCGTCCTCGACCAGCCCAGGAGAGATATCACAGATCCGTGAATCTTGCGAACGCGCGGGTGGGCCAGGCCCACAGACCGCACGGGAACAGGGACGGTCGTCGGTGGCTGGGCGAGGCCACCTGGGCGATCAGCGCAATACATACGCGGAAACGGATACGGAGAGAGGCCCTCGTTCATCCGATCGGTGTGGTCGAAGGAGACACACACACACACGTCGGCCGTGCGCCGCCTCCGCCT